AAGAATGTATCATTGTACATTGAGATCAAGATGTCCATTTGATCCAATTAATGTAAAAAACAAAACAATCGTTAACATTTTTCAAGAATCCTATGTAACTGGTGAAAACTGAACAAGGTTTTTAGTCTAGATAACAGTATTGCATTAGTATCATTTCTTGTTTTTGGTATTATACCAGTGAGATAAAATGACATCACTAGACAAAGCTTGAGAGAGGATTCATCAGCCTTATTTGTATTTTGCAATGCACCATGACTCTATAATTATTTCAAAATAAAGTTTTCCAGAATACTTTGGAATAGGATGGGTTTTCAAAAAAATTACATGGAAAAAATAAAGAGGAGCATCTAGCAGTATCTGATTTAAAAACACATTACAGTGCAAAGCCATAGAATTAAAAACAGTGCAGTAATGGTAAAAGAATAGGTTAAAAGACTAATGCATTAGGATAAGTTAAAGACCGAAATATAAACAAAACAAAAACCCTCACCACTGGACCAATAAACAACATTTTTATCAATGTAGAAAAGATTGAAGTTGTCAAGGACTTCACTCATCTTGGATCAACTACCAACACTCATGAAAGCAGCAGTCGAGAAATCAAATGATGTATTGCATTAGGCAAATCTGCTGGACAAGAACTTTTTAAAGTGTTGAAGGCCAAAGATGTCAGCTTGAGGACTAAGGTGTGCCTGACCCAAGCCATGGTATTTTCAATAACGTCATTTGCATGCGAAAGCTGGGCAGTGAATAAGGAAGACCGTAGAAGAACTGATGCCTTTGAGTTATGGTGTTGGAGAAGAATATTGAAAGTGCTACGGGCTGCCAAAAGAACCAACAGATCCCTTTTGGAAGAAGTGCAGCCAGAGTACTCCTTGGAGGCCAAGATGGCCAAACTTCATCTCTCATACTTCACACATATTGTCAGGAGGGAGCAGTCACAGGAGAAGGATATCATGTTTGGTAAGGTGGAGGGACAGAGAAAAAGAGGAAGACCCCCAACGAGATGGATTGGCCAAGTGTCAGCGTCAATGGACTCAAGCATGGCAACAGTAGTGAGGAGGTTGGCCCAGGATTAGGCAGTGTTTCATTCTGCTGTGCATAAAGTCACTATGGGTCGGTACCGACTCGATGGCACCTAACAACAACAAATACCTAAAGTTATGAAGGGTAAAATTATGCCACTTATGCTTTAGTTACCTAGTGCTGCTGTAACAAAAATATCAAAAATGTGTGGCTTTAAAGTCAATTTTCCAACAAGGTATTTCAGATTTAGCTTCAAAATATACCCCAAATCTGTTTGTGACCCTATCTTGCTTCCACTCCGATCCAAGTCACCATTTTATCTGGATTGCTTCAATAGTTCCCTAACTGGGTGTGCTGCCTCTACCATGTTCCTCTCCCCTCTTAGTTTCCTAAGGCTGCCATGAAAGACTACCACAAACCAAATGGCTCAAAACAACAGACATTTATTCCCTCATAGTTCTGGAGGCCAGAGGTCAGAAATTAATGTGTTGACAGACCATGATCTCTCTGAAGACTCTAGGAGAAGGGGTGCTCCACATTTCTCTATGCTGCTGGTGTTTTGCCAGCAATCCGCAGCTTACAGACACACCATTCCAACTTCTGCTACTGTGGTCAGTGGCATTCTTTCTCCTTGCGTCTGTCCCTTTGTCTCATTTCTGATCATGAATCTGGGGGATCTTGTTGAAATACAGATTCTGATTCTTCTTATATGAATCTGGGGGTCTTGCTGAAATAGATTCTGAGTCCGGTGGAAAGGCAAATTCTCAGCAGGAGGTCAAACTGGAATGAACCGGTTCAAAGCCCTGTGGTTGTTGCTGCTAAGAGCAGACTCATAGAAACACGGCATAGGGTTTCGGAGAAGCCACTCATAAGTATGAACTGCTGACCTTTCAGTTCATACTGACCTTGCGGTTCAGTGCTTATTCAGGTGCTGCTGAATCAGTTCTCACTCATAGCCACCCTGTGCACATCAGAATGAAACCCTGCCTGGTCTTATGCTATCCTCACAATCACTGCCATGTTAGAGTCCATTGTTGCAGCCTCTGTGTTAATCCATCTTGTTGAGGAGTCTTCCTCTTTTTTGCTGACCCTCCAATTACCAAGCATGATGTCCTTTTCTAGGGACTGGTCCCTCCTGATAACATGTTCAAAGTATGTAAGATGAAATCATGCCCTCCTCCCTTCTAAGGAGGCTGTACTTCCTTCAAAGACAAATTTGTTTGTTCTTTGCTAACACCATGTAATTCAAAGACATCAATTCTTCTTCAGTCTTTCATATTGTTTGTCCAGTTTTTGCATGCATATGAAGTGAATGAAAATACCAAGGCTTGGGTCAGGGACTTTAGTCCTCATAGTGACATCTCTGCTTTTTTAACACTTTAAAGAAGCCATTTACAGACCTACCCAATGAGAGCCATCATTTAATTTCTTACCTGCTGCTTTCTTCTCATCATCTAGCCCTTGCATATCACTCCACCCAGTTTCTACCATGCCCCATTCCCATCATCCCTTGCTCACTACCTGCCAGTCTCTTCCCTCAGACTAAAATGTTCTGCCCCCAGAAACTCACTTTGCTAGCTTCCTTCCTTCAGGTCTCTGCTCAAATATTACTTGCCTTTTCTGAAATTTTTTCTAAATAACTGACTTCCTGGCACTATCAATCCTCTCTTTCATTTCTTTTCCTTCATGGCATGTATATATTTATATGACACCATTATACATTTATTGTTTCATTAATTACCCGCCTCCCCAACTACTGTGTACACTCTCTATCTTAGTATCTACAGTATCCATAGAGCCCTGGCTTATAGAAAAGATATGGCAGTATTTTTTGCAAGTAACCATCAAACAAACTGTAGCCTTGACCACATAGCTCATACTCCTTCTGTTACAGCATGCTGTTACTCAGAAAAACAGATAAATATGTACACAGTTTTATATTTCTCCCCTAACAGATTAAAATGTCCATGTCTTATATATTTCTTTAGGAACTACCAGGCCCAGCACCTAGTGAATATGAGATAAATACAAGGAAATTACTGTGTGAAAGGCAATCATGAAAAGGGGGTGCATAAGACAGAAAAGGGAATCTTGGTGTAGTGCTGGAGAATAACGCACTGGACCCCAAGGTGGGTAGTTCACACCCCCAGCCACTCCTCGGAAACCCAAGATAGGGTTGCTGTGAGTCAGAACTGACTTGACGTCACCTAATAAGACAGAAACAGACTCAAAGATCATGGAGAGACTGCTGACTTATAGTCTATGGCACAGTGACAGTTCCGTGGTCACTCCTTGCATTTCCTATGTGTCTATCTGCCCAAGTCATAGTTTGATGTTTTAAAGAAGAGAAAAATGAATCAGATATAAGTCCTGGCTTCAAGGAACTTAAATAAATGTAAATATTAAGATAAAAATTTGGAAATAAGCTTAAATGAGATAAATATAATTAAATAGCTATAGGATTTTAAGGTCAAGGGCATTCCTTCCAGTTGTAGAATGGAAGAATCTATACAAATGGTAGCAGCTGAGCTGGCTAAACTGACTCCTAAAAGATGGGCACAATCAGATACTACTCTATAAGCTCCTAAAAGGCAAGAAGTATTATTTTATTCATCTTGATGCCTCTAGTCCGTCAAGAAATGTATGGACTATAAAGACATCTAATAAATACTGAACAAACAGGAGGAGAAAAGCACTCCAAAAAGAAGCAATAAGAAAATTCCAGGCATGGATGAGCAGCAATAGTGAGGGAGTGGCTAGTAAAATGGGTTCATGGTAGGAAAAGGCTACGAAAATAGTGGGTAAAAGTAAGTTGGGACTAGAACCTAGAGTATTATGAATGACAGGCTAAGACATTTAGACTTTATTCTGCGGGCAACAAGAGACCATTGAAAACGTTTACAGAAGAAAATGTGACCTGAGGAGCCTAGCAAGAGTCCTCTGCTTAAATAAAGAAATCCACCTTCTTCCATAATGCTTGAAATTCTACCGTTAGAAACTACTGTATTTTCTGACACACCCTAGGAATCCTCTTAATATACAAACTCTCCCAAGAGATAACAGAAAAAGCTATTGTCGTTCCTTTATACTTTAGTGTAAATCAGATATCAATTTGCTTCCTCTTGGCTAAAAGAAAACGATATGGATTTCATATGAAGATGAATTTATGAGACAGAATCATAACTTTAAAACATTGCCACAGCAAAAATTTAAGAGCTAATTCTGTTCTTTCCAAAAGCAGAACTGAATAAAAATGAAGAGAATTTCCATTAATGAAGAGTACTAAATTGATGGCCCATTAAGGTAAGAAAGGAGTCCTGATGTGGCGCTGTGGGCTAATGCGTCAGACTGCAAAGCTGTTTGAACTGCAAGGTCGGTGGTTCAAGCTCACCAGATGCTCCTTGGAAACCCTATACAGGGTCACTATGGGTTAGAATTGACTTGATAGCACTTAACAAACAACAAGGTAAGAAAAACAAACTGTGATAAGTACAGGAGGTGGCTGGGATGTTACTTTTATACTGATAACTAAATATTCAGGTCTCTGAGTTTTCCTCCTCAGGTAAGTAAAGATTTTACCTAAATCACATTCAATCACAACTTCAATAACTGTGATTGACAATTACCATTCTAGGACTATAAAAGGGAAAGAATAATGAAAGAACGTTGAAAATCCATTTTAAGTGTTATGAAACCACTAAAACTGATCATCAGAATTGCAACCATATGCTAACCCTAAGAATTCCATGCAGATTAGTGACCAAGGAATTCGAACCACAAGGTCGGCAGTTCAAACCTACCAATTGTTCTTTAGAAACCCTCTACTGGGTCGCTATGAGTCAGAACTGATTCCACCACGGCAGTTAACAAAAACAAGGCTTTGGGATACAAGGAAACACAAAGCGGAGTTTCCTAGGGCATCCACCTAAAGGGCCCTGGTTCCCTGTGAAATAGAGGGAGAAAGGGGTACTCACCGCTTATCGATGGCGTCGATGTTTGAATGGAGAAGCCAGAGCTCCTCTGTGTTGTCCTGCCGAGAGGACAGGATCAAGTGATGGCCTGTCAGACAAAGTGTCCCCTCGACAGCCGGATAGAAAGGCCGGTGCAGCACCACATTGTCCACCCGTGGGGTCTTAATCAGCTCCGCAAACTCCATGGCCCCTTAGGGGCGGGAACCAGGGGCCTGGCGGGTCCTAGAGGTGCAAGGCGCAGGGTGGAGGAGGAGAAGGACCTGGCTGTGGGCTGGCTGCCGGGGCGGAGACCAGAGCAGAGAGGCCCGGCCGGCCCAGGCTGCAGTGGGCGAGGCGAGGCCTGCAGCAGCCGCCGTAACCAAAAAGGCCGGAGATGCTGGGGGCCAGGCTTGGGCGTCACTCCTGCTCCTCCCCGTCACCCCAAGCCCAGGACTAGCCACAGGCAATGCTCTGCGACAGCCCAGCTGCCGCCACCAGAGGGACCCGGCCTCTGGTGGGCGGGCTAAGTGGAGAAGGAGGAGACCACTTTAGGGCCAACTTCTAAACCCAAACCTTCAGGGGACTTCTGGCGGAAGTACCTGCTCACTGCACGAGCCTACAGCAATTCTGTGCGCCTGAAACTGCATGGAAAGGGAAGTCAGAGCCGGAAGTGTGTTCCTTGCTGGCTCCAATGAAAATGCCTCCGGAAACACAGAACCGAAGATTTGTGTTCCTACCAGGCAATTAAAAAAAAACAAACAAACAACTTTGCCTTTCCGCCCTTACCCCTTCTCCCAAATCTTCCTCATTAGAAAAGACTCTAAAAGATAGAACGACGGTCAGGGGTCCCTGTCCTGCCTCCTTTCACATAAACAGCCCCTTCTCCTAAGAACTCTTAAGAGCATGGGGCTGCCTAAACTGTAGAGATCCCATCCATAGGATTGAATCAGTGATTGTGGCCACAGAGGCCAGGTGATAAGGGAGCAACACAGGGACCCGCGTCGCAAATTCCCTAAAATCTCCGCATCACAACGGTGTGACCTTAAACAAGAAAATGGAAAAGTATATAAATGCCTGTGACAGAAGTCTTGATAGGCATACATGTAATATGCTGTAGAAGAAATTATCAATCCTGTGAGGAACTAAAGCTTGACTTCCTAGAGGCCATACAGTTAATTTGGACTTCAACCTAAGACTGAAATACTAGACTAGTGTGCATTGGTAAGTCTACATGCAGCCTTCCCATTAAATACAATCCTTCGGAACTGCCCCCAGATATCTAAATTACACCTGAAATTTACTCAAATAATTTTTCATTGTTTGATACCCTTCCCACCCACCACCCACCCCCTGTTCCTTCTAGACTAACCTTTTTATTCTAAAATAGATAATAAAGGGGACATATGCAAATGTTTAAGGAGCTCTGGTAGTGTAGTGGTTACGAATTGGGCTGCGAACCTTAAGGTCAGCGGTTCGAAACTACCAGCCGCTCTGCGGGAGAACGATAAGGCTTTCTACTCCCGTAAGGATTTACACCCTCGGAAACCCTGTACGGGTCGCTATGGGTCGGAACCGACTCGAAGGCACTTAACAACAACAACATGCAAATGTTTGAATACTAATCTGCTGTAATTCCATTAGTCTTTGAAATTCTATCAAGTTTCTAAATACAATGAGTTAGCTAGTCTTTCAGCATTCAATGACTAAGTAACTTGCCACAAACTTCACCAGATAATCTAACACTTGATGCTTTTGTCTTTGCCCTTCCAAAATGTTCCCTTCTCAAAAAGAACAAAAACTTTATAAAATTGTTACAATTAAGAGTCCAGTTTAGTTTGTCTGCAAAAGAAAACCGAATCAAGAGAAGGGAATATCCATAAAGCTTTTTTTTAAAAAGCTGGGAGTTTTGTCTTTTATCTTTTTTGTTTGGTTCATTTTTAAGTTATTTATTGTAGAAGGGAGAATTTACTCATAAATTAAACAATCAGAATACTTTACAGGAAAGGTAACATTTGGAAAAGAGGAAATAGAAGGGTGAGTAAGATTTAGTCTGAATGAAGTGTCATTTACAATAGTGAAAAATTCTTTAGTAATTCCCTGACCTTCTTTAAGTTCCCCTCTTTAAAAAGCTATAAAAATACCATTGTGTCATTAAGTAAAAAAAAATTAATACCCCTTAATGTAAAAAATTAATACCCCTTAATGTAAAAAAAAAAAAAAGGAGCTCAGGTAGTGTAGTGGTTATGAATCGAGCTGCTAATCTCACAGTCAGCATTTCGAAACTACCAGCCGTTCCCACAGGAAAAAGATGAGGTTTTCTGCTCCTTTAAAGATTTACAGCCTTGGAAACCCTATGCAGGGTCCCTATGAGTCGACACCGACTCTACAGCACACCACCACCACCACCACCACCATGGGTAAAGAACTCAAAAATGATAAGCTTTCTGGTGAAAAAAATCCAATAGTAAAGAACTGGTGGGGAACACGGCACCAAATATTACTGTATGAATAATAGATGGCAGTCGAGTTCATCAGTAATGGGACAAGCTTCCAGAATAAAATCATTCAATGTAGCTGTGGTTAAACACATTGTTGTCCAAACCAAAAACTAAGTCCACTGCTGTCAAGTAGATTCTGACTCAAAGCAACCCTATAGGACTGAGTGGTGGTGGTGGTGGTGGTGGTGGTGGTATGTCCCAGCTCTTCTCTCTTGATGGTAGTAGGTCCCTCTTTCTCTGTTCACTTCTCTTATATCTCAAAAGAAATTGACTCAAAATACAATCTAGTCCTGTAGATTGCATCTGACCTCAATTATAGAAGTGAGAGTTTCCAAAGCAGGATAATTAACATGAGATCAGGACTGATCACATCAGATCATATCATGGGGGTGACTATATTTTATTAGTTCTTGTCATGGGGAATAACTACCTCTTAAAACTGTCAAACCACTGAGAATCTAGGCCCAGCCAAGTTGGCACACAACCCGAACAATCACAAAACCATACAGATGATATTATTTTTATCATTCTATGAGATAGCAGATGGCATCACCTAGATGCATTAATTAGTTAACCCCTTCTCCTACCACTTCTTCCTTTCTTTCCTAGTCTACCTTTGTCTGGAAACTGTGCTAAAACCTATTCACCATGGATATCCCTGCTGTTATTTAAAATACCAGTGGCATAACTTCCAACAAGCCATCACAGTATGACAACTGACATACAACTGGTAGTAATAGTAAACTAGCATCAAGTGCCTACTTGGTCATCAGCACTGTTAGGAATGCAGCACTAGCCCTGACATTGTCCTTACTCTCAGGAAATGATAGCTAATGTTGGGAGCTCTATATATCCAAAACAACTTAAAAGCAAGATAAAAGTAAGTGCCAAACTTTGAAGTAGAGACTTTTCTGGTTTTGTGTTTCCCTAGTAAACCTTGAGTCATTATTAAATTAATTTAAAGATAATTTTAAGAAAGCAATTCTACAATTGTCAAAAATAACAGGAACATCTAAAATAAAGAAGACACTGCCATGTTGTTGATGAACAGCTATTCTCCATGTGTTCTTATGTACAGTATTCAACTGTTGGCAACTGAAGCAAGCCTGAGAACCTAATGCTGTGGCCTCCGTCTCCTTCATCCTTCAAACAACCAATCACCAAATCTGTCTATTCTTTCTCTGTTGTTGTTGTTCTTAGGTACCATCGAGCCGGTACTGACCCATAGAGACCTTATGCACAGCAGACAGAAACACTGCCCAATCCTGGGCCAGCCACACTACTGTTGCCATGCTTGAGTCCATCGATGCTGCCACTTGGCCAATCCATCTTGTTGGGGGACTTCCTCTTTTTCTCTGACCCTCCACCCTACCAAACATGATATCCTTCTCCAGTGACTGGTCCCTCCTGACAATATGTCCGAAGTATGAGAGACGAAGTTTGGCCATCTTGGCCTCCAAGGAGCACTCTGGCTGTACTTCTTCCAAAATGGATCTATTGGTTCTTTTGGCAGCCATGACATTTTCAATATTCTCCTCCAACACCATAAGTCAAAGGCATCAATTCTGCTATGGTCTTCCTTACTCACTGTCCAGCTTTCGCATGCATATGAGGTTATTAAAAATACCATGGCTTGAGTCAGGTGCACTTAGTCCTCAAGCTGACATCTTTGCTCTTCAACACTTTAAAAAGGTCTTGTGCAGCAGGTTTGCCCAACGCAATACATCGTTTGATCTCTTGACTGATGCTTCCATGTGTGTTGATAGTTGATCCAAGAAGAATGAAATCCTTGACAACTTTAATATTTTCTCCATTGATAAGAATGTTGTTTATTGGGCCAGTGGTGAGGATTTTTTTGTTCTTTACATTGAAATGTAATCCATACTGAAGGCTGTGCTCTTTGATCTTCATCAGTAAATATTTTAAGTCCTTTTCACTTTCAGCAAGCAAGGTTGTATCATCTGTATACCACAGGTTGTTAATGAGTCTTCCTCCAATCCTGATGCCACCATTTTTTTCATATAAACCAGCTTCTCAGATTATTTGTTCAGCATACAAGTTGAATAAGTATGGTGAAAGAATACAACCTTGTCACACACCTTTCTTAATTTTAAACTATTCAGTGTTCCCATGTTCTGTTCGAACAACTACTTTTTGGTCCAGGTACAGATTCCTCATGAGCACAATTAAGTATTCTGGAATACTCATACTTCACAATGTTGTCCATAGCTTGTCATGATCCACACAATCGAAAGCCTTTGCACAGTCATTAAAGCACAGGTAAACATCTTCATGTAAACAGCTTTCAGCCAAGATCCATCGGACATCAGCAATGATATCCCTCATTCCACGGGCTCTTCTGAATCCAGGTTGAACCTGAAGATAAAGCCAAATATTAAAACAAAATGTGCAAAGATCTGGAATCAGAAAACCAAAAAGGAAGAACACACTCAGCATTGCTCAAGCTGCGGGAACTGAAGAAAAAAATCCAAGCCTCGACTTTCATTATTGAAAGATTCTCTGGGAAAATTGTTGAATGAAGCAGAAAGCATCAAAAGAAGATGGAAGGAATACACAGAGTCACTGTACCAAAAGGAAATGGTTCATGTTCAACTGTTTCAAGAGGTAGAATATGATCAAGAGCCAATGAATAAGTCCAAGGTGCATGAAGGAATAAGTCCAAGGTGCATTGAAGGAATTGGCAAAGAACAAGGCACCAGGAATTGATGGAATAAAAATTGAAATCTTTCCAGAAAGTGAG